CATTACTAAAAGCAAGCACTTTTCAAAATGATCGTACATATGTAAATTTAAATAGTTTGAAAAAAATCAAAGGCGTAATGTAATTTATGGATTCTGCATGATATTACAGTTTATAGTTGTGTGTAAAATGTTTAAAAATGCATTATTGATCTTATACTAGTAAGTTTAGTAATAGAGTAATGCGTGTTGAAATAAATGAGGATGGATTGTAAGGGGTTTGATATAATCGACCATATTTATATCTGAAAAACATCCAGGAGAGAAGTACAGATTTTTCTGTGTGACCCTAAAGCCCGTTCTGGCTAGCAAGCGCGTCCGTTTCGTTGTTTCTATATAGACTTGATTGATCCGCGGGGATGACATATATTATCCGGCCGGATCAAACTCGCAGGCAATAATCCCACATAAACCAAAGAGAAGGGTAACAAAGAGTTGGGACAACTCTGAAATGCTCATTTTGACAGGCCGAATTTGAGACTAACTTAAAGCGCTATTACCGCGATTAGTTTTAGGACAGGCCAGCTCAGAGGTGAACCTGGGGTAGGTAGTGGTACCATACCAGTACCACTAGGCAGAAACTCCGTACATCCAGGAGTTCCGCAGACTTCAGGCTCGGATTACTTGGTGAACTTACAAGTTCCAACTGGACTCTCTCCGAAATTTGCTCCCCAGGATCAGTGATTACATGAGTAAAGAGCTCTGAATGTGGGGACATGTATTCAGGAGCAACACGTTTTGAATTAAGAAGATGATAATTAGCATCTAATTGGAAGATATGTTAAAAATTTGTTAGGTCAATCACACATGTGGATTTTTATGCAGGAAACTGATTCTGGGTGGGGATATATTTTGAAGGGGTGGGGAATGGGGGGTGGNTATTTTGTGAAGAAGTAAGCTAGCTAATGCATGTTAAAAATGAGAAGTTCTGAACATCAAAAGTGTAAAGTGACCCTTGTGTAGGCAATGGAAGGAAGAAAACCTGCTTCCCCCTCTCCTTACTTCTTCAAAGTTCATGGGTGTTTGTAGCAGTCTGACAATTTCAGCAATGTGAAAATATGGGGAAGGGGGACGAATAGTGTAATGGCTCTTCTGATTTAAGAATCAGGGAGACCCCCAATATCTCGTGAAGTCCACCTTCTACTTGGGAGGTATTTAAGTACACTCCATGCTATAATAATTCAATATCAAATCGCTGGTATGATCCGTTTGAATTAATTAAGACTGGTGAAGGAATATATCCGTATTGTGTTAAAGAAAATGTTTGGCAACGTTCGTCAATGAAAGAATTGGCGACAAATGGACTAGCCAGCAAATGAAGTTGTCTTTCAATATCGAGTGTGATGGGTCACACTATAGCAACTCTAGTTCAAGGACAATTCAAACACATACAATGAAATTCACTTTACATCGGGGTAGAGGTGCCCCGGATACCCCTATTTAACGCGTGCGGAAGACCGCCCTCCCGAGACAACGGTGCTGCCACCTATCCGTCCACACCCCCTACCAGGTCCTGGCCTGCGTGTTTGTTTTGTATATTTTTCGTGGCTGTACGGAGCGCAAGATCAGATAAGGTACACTTTGCAGATGATTTCACTTTGACAATTGTGTGTAACAGAATCTTGGTCGGAGAGGATAGGCTATGTCACCATTCCTGAGAGGGCCAATTTATGAACCTATTCAAATTTCCATTCTTTATCTACAAGTATTTAATGAGTATAAGGGACCTCTGAAAAATGGCCCTTATTCACAGCCAGCCTTGCTTAGCACTTCAGCGAATAGGACTTTAATAGCAATCATTACTGTTTTTTTCTGAAATAACTCCAGGGTGTTGGTATGGTTTATATGTATACACAATACCAGTAATAACAACAGACTCACATGTGCTCTGGCGAAGTGAACGCAACAAATTATCAATCTCAATGGTTCCAACGGAGCAGTATACAGTTAAATAAAGCGGTGCGCTTGTCTTGATCCACGCCGCTCCCCCTCCTACGTACCCATACTCGTATTGAACATTTTCTGATAGCACGCCAAGAAATCATTATGCTGTATATCCAATCTGGTTGTCTTATTAAATAGCACATTTACTTTTGTCTAGCTTGCAGCCTCATTATTGCCATTCTTCTGCTAACTTCCCTTTCTTAATGCGGTCCCGCGGCTTTACATTTCCGCCTGCCTATTTCGATCTTTATAGATTTTGCATTTACACACAATCGTGAATCGGTTTTAATCTGCGGAGGACACAGTTAAGCATAAGGAACCCAGGAACAATCCTGGGGTAGCCACTCACGCAGAAAACATTCAGTCCAATACAATCAAATGAAGTAACTAGACCGCCGAAACCATTAATGTTTCTAGCTGGATCCATGGAAAAAAGCCGTGCAAGGAAAAATATCACAAAAGACGGGACCAATCACTGGAAAAATTAGCTTCTACATGGCTATTTATACTAAGCATTGTTGCTGGGCCTGGCTGCAAGGGCACATGTTATGTACGAAACAAAGTTACAACTTGTGAATGGACGACCATTCTTCGTCAATAAGCTGGGAATGTCATCACATCAAAAGGAGGCTGTCTGTCCCACCAGCACCCATGATTGTATCCACCGGCCACAAAGAAACCGTTCTTACAAACCAGAAAATTGACTTGAGCACAACAGTAATGGAACTCTCTAGACCCTGACAATGCCTTCCTCACTCATTATCATGGTAATTTTCCGGAGAGAAAAAAAGGACAACACATTTTCTGACACAACAACGCTGTTAACTTCTGTTAATTCTATCTCTCCAGTTTTAACACCTTAGCCATCTGTATAAACACTTCTTACCATAATTAACTTCTCAGATAGAAATTAATTTCATATACAATTCAATTTTTTTTTTTTTTAAATCAGATTACATTATTTCTTTCACAATTTGCATTAGGATGCTGAGGTACTTTCTCTCCATTCCAAAGTTACAAATAAACAAATGAACTAAAACATATGTTTTGTGGAAGGCTGACATTTTTGACCAGCAGACCATAAGCTCTTTACTTTTCATCGACTATAAACAAGTGTTCAACCTTAACTATTATTTAGGAAATTGATTTTTTCATGTAGATAGAAGGAATGTATTACCACCGAACGACAGGAGGATTAATGAAAGTACACAAAGTATCACGGAAGGAAAACATCACAGCAGATTGATATAAGGATCAACAAAAGTACACGAAGTATAAATCTCCGACCCAAAGAAAGTTTGTGCCTCGTTAGAAAGTGATACGGGTGACTCGATACCCAGACACGACTGCACGGGTATATCAGACGAGATCTGAACATCCACTAATGAACCAGTGACGGAATTTAAAGCCTGGTCCTGTTTCGGGAGATGTAGCATCTGTGTGACACTGGTCTAATTGATGCTGGCCCTCCTTCCCCTCGACTGCCCTCGCACACTAACATACAGTTTGTGGCATTCTGAACACTTCTATTTTTTACATTATCAATTTACAAACTTCCTACTCCATCAAACGATATTAAATCACACTCATTGGCTACGCATTTCTCATCCCTGTGAACATGAAAGGCCTGTGCTAGAGAGAGTTTACACACTGTGTTAACCTTAGGATAAACTTGCGGAGAGAGAGAGGGGGGTGGCAGCCGACTCAGCCGTGTGTATTTACTCTAAAGCACCTGTCAGAGCAGGGCAGACTACGAAAAGCAAATGAATGTAAAAAACACCCTGTCTGGAAATATATATTGGTAAAGTACATGTTGAAAGTCTGTGTAGCACCCCAAACATCACTAGGCCTTGATACAGGTGATGTTCTGTCAGTGTCGTCTGACAGGCTAACACTAACACCTGTTAGACAAACAATCAACAATCGACAATTCTACCCCCAAATTTACCAATGTCAACCTCTACTCTTTCATTGGTTCAAAATTTGCTATGGTAATTTTTCAATTCAAAGTAACCAATTATTGTTTTAACAGAATATAAATTTTAGTTGACTATATTAAATTGCAGCACAACTGACCAATAGAACTGACCACCACAGACAACACACCAGAGTGACCAACATCCAGCTCTTAAAAACATACAAAGATGTGCCAGACTCGCAGCGAAATGGCCTAATGGTTCCCAGTCAACAAAATAACATTGATCATACGGACCAAGACAAAACAGCAGCTTTAGAAACAGTTGCCATAGTAACAATTTCATGTTTAAGGGTTACTGTACCTTTGCCCCCCTCCCTCCCTCCCCCTCCTGACTAATTTACCTAGTGTATGTATACTTAACAGACGAGACTTACTTTTTACATATGATCTAGATTCCATCAGTTTTCCATTTCATTTGCTAAAAGCTGTTAGGAGTAGGGTGTAAGGTTTCAGGGGAGGGCTAGGCCCAATGATAACTGGGGGTTATTCCATTCCCTACTGGTGGCATCCAAACTCGTTCCAGCACAAAAAAACTCAAAATTGGCTAGGAAAATATTTCCTCCAGCACTTTTTCTGACTTTCTCCTCAAAGATTAAACATCTGTATCTTATTTGTCAAAAGGAACAGAAAAAGTTACAAGAATTGACTGCCCTGTACTTAAACAGCCATGGGGGTCAATAAGGGGGATATTTAAGAGGGAGGTCAGTGGCTGTTACCATGGTGATTTTATACCCAAACCATGGGAGGAGGATTTCTAAAAAGAAATGATTGGATTTAGAAAATAGGTTGTTTCAGTCTATATAAATGATGTCTGTTTAGGGTATAAGGTATTTGTTGTATGTGCTGTTGTAATTTGTGTTTTTATGACTTTTGATTTTTTTTGTATTTTGTGTTATGTTTTAATATGTTTTTTAGGTTTGTTTTGCTGTATTTAAATTTGTTGTGAAATGTTACAAGCATTTGTATGCTGTGTGCTGTTGTACATTTATTTTTGTGGAGACAACATGTCTTTAATTTTTCTGGCCATAGCGACGTTTCGTTGTGACCAGACCATTGTCTAAATAAAGATGTTGTGTCTTACCTATTTCGCTATTGTTGTCCGCATGTTGTGAAGAATTGGTATTAGACTGACTAGTTGTGATGGGCGTGTCTCCAGAACGGGACGATTGGGTGTCGTCTTGCTGGCTAAAGTTCAAACATTGTGAGGGCGGCCTCTGCAAAAAGAAAAGAAAACAGGAATTAGTTACCAAATTCCGCGTTATTCATCGAATCCAAAATAAAACACAGTAGAACCACACCCTGTCTACAATAAGTAAAGTTCTATACATAAACAAACAGAAAAAAGACGCCTTATGCAAGATTTCTCTTGTAAGGTTAAGTTATTATATCGTTACGTTTTGTTTTAATGTTTATAAAAACAAAAAATCCAAGAATCAACTTAGAAAACAACACAAGAATCAAGGACAATCAGGACAAGACGGATTTATCCTTCAGACAATCCCAGGACAACGGGTAAAAAAACAACGTTTAATTTAAAGCTGTGACAGGCATAGCATTCACCACTGCACATTACAAGCAATCGTGATTGGCACAACGAGGACAGCCTTATCGCAGATTTGATATTAATCTTTAATCTCCTTCGTCTTTATTTACAATTAACTAGGTCACCAAAGGCTGTCTGACTAAGAATAGTGGATTGTTTTGGGAAAATGAGTAACGGGCAACCTTGTACCGTATCTAGCAGGGAAGGGATGCTGCCCGATGCCAGTGTGCATGTCGACCGCCGACAATTGGCCAATTGATCAAACACAAAAAACGTTATCCCTTTGCGGTGCTCATCAATAATAGAGTACACCTTCCCTATCAAATATATTCCACTCACTTTACCTTACAACTACCAGGCCTGAGGAGGTAACAGGCAACAAATCCATGCAGCCGGACGATGGTCAGGCTATCGATGGGATAGTGATTAGGTGTTGGGACACTGGTCAAAACTTCGGTGTTGGGACCGTGGTCAAAATTTAGTTGCAAGGACAGCGGTTAAGATTCAGATTTGTAGGATGGTCAGTTTTTAGGTGACAAGGTAGCGGTCAAGATTAAGGTGTAAGGACAGTGGTCAATGTTTAGATGTAAGGATCATGGTCAGAATTTAGTGTTTATTAGATAAGTACATAAAGAAAACATTATAAGGACATTACTGGTGACCTGGGCAGGTGACTGTCGATTTCTTGTGGCCTTTTTGGCTACGACCCCTAAAAAACGACCTACCTCACACCAACATCAAACGGTTCTCCGATCAACATTGAAAGTCTCCCACATAACAGAACACACACATGATCAAGATGCTAGGATTTGATTAGGAGAAAAAATTTACATTTGCTATCGTCAGGTGACACAGGACTGATGTTTCCACACCTGAGCGAATTTTATTGCTCCCCCTGTATTGATAAAAGTGCATGGTTATAACGAATAATATGCCTCGTCTCCCTCCCTATGTAAAGCATACCTCCCTACCACAATCCACCCTCTTGTAGTGCATGGTTAGGATTATTTCACTCTCTGTGACAAGATTGAATTTCATAAAGTTGACAGGAAGGGAAAACACACTGCAAGAAATTTATCTGCAAGTGAAAGGTTATATTCCTGTTATTACCAGCACCAGGAATGCTACTCCATCAGATATAGGTTGGAATGTTGTACTCGTCGTAATGATGCGACTGAGAGAAGATTGTTAGTGAGCAAGATGACGTGGACGCACGGTATCCAGACATCAAAGTCGTCTCCACTACAACAGGTGTGAATTAACAGAGTACAAGCTCCCCCTTTCGCCCACCTGATCAGGTGTGGTCATTAACGGCCGGCCGGAAGTGATACCCCACTAAAACTGATGCACATGTTGTCATATTTCCCGCTATCTCTCCACGTAAACTACTCGCACTCCATTAATTATTTAGACAAAAAGTGTAATTTCAAATCAATAATTGTCATTGTAAGATATGTGCCAATTTATATCCAGTGGGGTAAGGAACGTGCAGTTTTACTGTCCCTCGCACGCAAGCACCTGCCCTTGGGGTTGTGTGTCTACGGAATTGTGTGTCGTGTTAGGGACAGTCACCTCCATGATGGGACACCTAATATGCCTGTTTAAATGCCCCATTAAGTGTACTGTTTTAGCGCTGATCCAGCGATTTCCTTATGAGCCATATGTATGTACTGCGACTGTTGACAGTGATTAAAACACCTCTATTTATAGCCCCGACATAGCAGACACCTCCGGCCATGTGGACTTTTAACATGCCTCTACAATTATCAAATATATGTCAATGTCATTACAAATATAATGTTATTCCTAAATCTACACAATTACTTGGCAATCTACATACATTATCACAGTTTTTAAAACAATTTCAAGTAACAACCTTGACCTAGTTTTAAGATTGACCTTGTGTAGACAATATCATTTCCTGGTTTATAGACGACCATGACCTTTACAGTTATTTTCTACTTTTTCAGATTTCAGATACCAATATGATTTTTAAGTTGGTTTTAGTTTCTTCCTGCTGGTAATTAAATGAAAACAGAAAAGTCCCATATATACAAGACTTGTTTACAGTGAAATATCCTAAAAAATTATGCGAAATTTCGAAAATAATTGATGAAGAAATTGGTATAGGAATTGATTAGAATGAACATTGACCTCAATTTACAGTCTAAGTGCTAAATGATAGATGAGGCAAATGAATGAAGGTAAAGGGGGCAGGAGGACAGGTCTGGGGAAGGGCAATGAGAGGATGGAGGGGCTCAGAGAGTTGACTGGAGGCGGGGACAAGACTACTGGAAAGGACACAAGGAGACAGTTGAAAGGAGGACAAAAGTTGGAACAGCCCTAGAATTGAGAGGAGAGAGCGTTCCTAGGGGGGGACACCAGAGTTGGTAATGGTGCCCATGTGTTGCCTCGGCATCTCTAACCCCTGACGTAACCATCAAAGTGGTACGATACATGAGAAGACGTCCTGCTCCGTGTTTGTGTGACCTTTCTAACTACCCCTAATGCAAGGGGAACAGGCGATGGATTGGCTCACATATCCCCCACATTACAGCACCCTACAGCAACAGGCCCCGTATAAACGGTGGCACACACATGCACTACAGTCTCCATCAGAACAAGTAATTCCTCTCGTAAAATTATGTGTGAATTAGTCTGTTATAAATTATAGCATCCCTCCCTCCAAATCACATAACTGGGCCTTCAAAACCATCAAAGCACTGCTTCTACCTTTGTGTCAATTCATTTAGCACATTGGAAGGAGCAAGTATGTACCAGAATTTATTTATGGGACCCCATCTCCTGACATTTACTGTTGCACAGGTTTCGGCTGCTGGGACGTTTCCCCCTCCCTCCTACATCACTTACAACTGTGATACATAGCCCCCTATTTGTTTGATCCTAATTTACATGGCAAATTTCCTATGATAATACATAACTTCCCTACTGATGAATGTTTCAAGATATATCTCTCCCGTAAGAAAAATATTGCATTTTTTTTTATTAAGATGTTTGCACTACACAAATTACTATGACCTTTATTTAGCCTACAAATAGTCTATACATGTTTCGACAGTGAGGAACAGTCTTACGATTGCCTGCAGCCACACTATACACAGGATCTCACACACCTTCATTCTGATACTCATCACAAGATATTACCGTATACTACAATGCTGACGAAAGAATTTGGCTAAAACTATGTTGGAGTGCTCACATTTGTTTTCAAATCTTGTTGTAAGTGTTGACGAAAATGATGCCCTCGTAGATTCTGGGCCAGGTGTTCACAGTAAAACAAGCTTAACAAATCATCAACGAAAAGTTTTTCAAAATGTGACTTTTATAGAAATGTTTGAAATTTTACATGTATGTTTTTGTTTCACGCTTTGGACTCATTTTATAAACAATCTTAGTGCTGAGTTTTCAGAATTTTGGAACAAATATATCACATGTACATTTTGAGTTAACCCCTCATTTGAATTAACCAGACTTTGATTAAGTGTCCCCTTGTTAACTAAACAATAAAATCATAAGAGAAACAGAGGAAGACGATGGTTCTTTAACAGCACCTTGTAAACACTACAGGACCGCCATTTTACCTCGCCATCCAAAAGTAGCTCCATTGCGACTTTTCAATGTCAATCCCAGAAATGAGGAAACTAATAATATTTGTTTTACTTTGTGTCTTCTTTCAGGTTTCAAAAAGACTACCAACATGACATATCCAAGCTGAATTGCACACATTATGTGTCAAAATATTACTCACCAGCAATTTTCTACACATAACTATTTCCTTATCCTGAAGGAGGAAATGATATTTTGAAATAAATGTTGGGTCAAATTTCCTAGTGTCTAATTTTGTATTAAATAATCATATCAAAAGTTTCGGGGTAAACTTTGCCTATTTATTAAAAAAATGATAAATATACATAATATAATATAACATCCTCTGTTTTAGCATGTTAATTTATTACTAATAAGCACAATTTGGCAAGTAAAGTTTATTACTTCGACAACAATATTTTATGGGGTTTAAATTTAAACATCGAACTAGAGCCTGACTGACCATATAGCTAGCCCCAGTAGCTACACTCCACCTAATATTACCCTATTTACCAGTACTAGTGTAGGTTCAGTGGGAGTAAGGGCGACACCTGTGTATTGACACCATGGCGTTCACCTGGACATGTTGCTGCATATTTTTTGACACCAGTACTCTACTCTGTAACATTAGGTACTTATTCCGGTATTTACATCTGACATATTCATGTATTTGCGAGCTTCTCCTGACCTTCGTCTACATTAATGGTATAAGCCAAAACATTACACTACAGTAGTACACACTGCTCTGAGCAGTCCATCGACGCACACTTGTCGTTTGTCAGTCCCTATCAATGGTGTAGTTTTACCCTCAAATCATCACCGTCGCTTGGGGAACAGCAATATGTAAAACGAACGTTTCACAGATAAAAGATTTGAGTTGAATGTATTGGTATGGTCCCTCGTTTTCAAAGCTATCCGACAGGGCTATATAAAGGTAGGTTACTGTGATCAACAGATTGTGAAATAAAATCAAATGTATTGTTTTAAATATGTCCAAAGCAATCATCATTTCGGTAATAATTTTTCCCATTTTTCAGCGAGCCCCTTGTAGATTGCAGAAGCACT